TTAAACCCATACTTCTAAGATTAAATCAGTGCCGATACCGAAATAATTTAAAGCTTTATATAGATTTAAGGTATCAAAATGGAACCTCATTACGTTTTAAATAAAACCAACCTAACACTTTAAATGTATAATTTTATTGCACTTATAACACTTTCTTCGTAAAAACAAACTCTCATTTGATACTGTCCTAGATTCGAGGTGTGAACTGCATTTTAACTGGCGTTATAAATTAAAACCAAAACAAGAATATATCATATTATTTAAAAATAGTTATAGTAACATTTTTTTGATGTTTTACAAATAAATCTTAGCATGATTGCTACATTATTACTTTGAACTATCTTTGGTTCTATCATATTCAAATTAATATTGTATCAGCCTTGCTGGCACGGTTATGATAGTTGATATACCCCACAGATGGATCGCGTTGTATACATTAATGTATCTAGATCAGCAGGGCTATCATGTGAATACTAATAGTTCAGCGAGCAAAGACAATGGCGTCCGCCGTGGTTACCCATCTTCCTAATTACCACGCTTTCTTGTTAAGGGTCAAAATGAAGAATACACACTTTTATTGTCTTAATGACAGGTTGCACAGTGGTGTTTAAAATTTTATATGTAATTTACTATGGATCTAAATTTTACAGTCAAAGACGGAACGAAAACAAATGTACCTACATTTAGGATATGGTCGTTATAATAATTCTAAAATTATTATAACGACGAATACACTGTTACTGAAACTTATTCTGCGTGTATATGAAGTATTAGGGGATTTAAACCAGGCCTAGTTAGAAAGATATATCGTAGTATGTTATTAATAATATCACAATTTTAGTAACATAATATCTGACTATAACCCGTGTAATAAGAATAATCTGTGCAATCATATGCCATTTTACACCTCCATTAACCCGTGACCTATACGTAAGTTAAAGGAAAACACTGATACATATTGAACTATGCTCAAATGATGATATTTTGGTCGTTGTATGTGTTATTTAACCTTCTTTAATAAATGGATTATACACAACAAAAAAAGTACCAAACCAACAAACTCTTTCGCTTCCATAGATTTGTATTATCACGTTTTCTCTCCAACACACAAAATTCATCTATTGAATGTGTAGTATGCAAATAAAAGCTTTAACTTTATATTTTGTAGATTGTCATAATTTTAAACATTTTAAGACAAATAGTCAAAGAAACAATAAGTTGTATACTTATAATAATTATTATAATATTAATCGACAAATACAATTGTATCCAATACAATTGTATCCATCAAAAAATATTGTAATCATTTACACGCCTTTTACACAATCTCATTTCTAAAGTAGTTTATTTAAAACGATCACATCAAACATAACTAGATGACTTGCTTTCTTTTTATGAGAAAAAAGCTCGCAGTCGTAACTTTATTACTTTTTAATTTGTTGCACAGTCACCGCTTTTTTATTATTTTCTTGATTTGACAAGTCATTGTCATGCAATTATGTAACCACTGTCAATAATAAAAGTAAATCAGGTGAATAAAATAAAATTGAATTTGATTTTTGATATTAACGCGTAGGGAAACCTACCTAGGGCTTTAAACGAAAACATATAAGGACTATTTCTTTGACTGAAATTACGAACGATTGCTATCCGCGGTATTTTTGATAAGTATACATTTTGTTACTCTACAATATAAGAGCAGAGATTTCCGTACGCGAATAACAAAATAGAAACTTATGAGCTTTAAGTAAATTTTTTGTAGACGTACCGTAAACACCGAGAAAGAAACTTTAAAGGCCGGCAACGCACTTGCGAGCCTATAGCCTGGCAATGTGAGCGGTATCTCATCAGGTGAGCCTTCTACCCGTTGGCCTGCATGAAATAAAAAAAAACATATCTTCGTTTTATGCATAGATTTTAAAGTACTTATAAAGTGCTTTCAAATCCGAAACTATTCCACCAGGATTCGAACCTAGTATAGTTTATACAGTACATGTATTAAGCTCAGAGATTTGGATTATTAGTATCAGCTAAATGCAATCAGCCTGGCTTCTTTAAATCCATCCCAACTTTAGAGAGGCGAAATTGCAAGTGTCACCGATACAAAGACCCATTAGGAATATTTGTACTATTATTAAACTAATAACGCTTTCATACAGGCGAAAGCAAAACGAAATGAGAGATTATCTATTGTTGTGTTGAGAAAACACAAGTTTACTTAAGATCAGTAGCTTAAGGAAAGTGTACACCATTACTTGCACTGACATACAATACCCTAGGTCACTGCGCAACATCATAATCATATTTAACTTAATGATATGAATACACGTTTTACGATTTTCTACTAAAAATAATAAAATATTGCTAATTGTCATAGAATTTGGATTTGCAAGACGCGGCTTTTTCATTGATTATTTTCTGGTTTCAATCGCACCAAATTGATATTGTAGCAAACTTTACGATAGTTTTGAGAATGGCAATACCGTGATATCAATTACTGACGGACACAAACGTATAGTATAGTTTTAAAATACAATTCATATTATTTATTCATTCTTATTCATATTATTCATTCTTCATTTAGTTCCAAATACACACAGGGAGCGCTGTTTTAATTGTCGCTCGAAAAAGTAATTATTGATTTTATTAAATATTATTATTGTTCAAGTATTTTAAGTATTTTACTTCAAGGTGTAATGCATATTATGAAATAAGCAGTTAATCTGTAGCAGCAATGTGTACTGTATTATTATGTTACTTTAGTAAGTTACGTTAAGTCTTATTTCATACAAAAACATCGTAGTCCAGTATTATTGTAGCCATTCAATGTATATAAAGTAATTTATAAGTAAGACTAGTAAATCAGTATGCATGTCTACACGCCAACAATAGATGCCTCCAACCCCATATAATTAAAGTTTATAAGCCTGTAAGAGACATTTACAAGCAATAAGGGTGTCCAAAGCTCTCAACCTTGAATGGAAAAATGAATGTAAATTTAGATAAGAAATTATGGAGGCTCATGTTTAATTCTTAAATATGTGGTCTGTGTTCTTCTTGCTAAATAATAATTGTTTCACTGGGAATCGAATCCTGGGCTTAAAAGGCATATAGTTACCAAATAAACCAAACGCAGCATAATTGATACTAAGCCTTTCTGACTTGAGAAATATATCTCATAGGACCTTCGTCCTTATCAATAATTTTAGTTCTAAAGAAACATAAAATGAAGTCACACAATCCAAATTAAAAAAAGCATAGAATGCGGGTGTGTATTTTCTCTCCTAATTAGAGTTTTAAAATAATTTTTACAAACATAAACAATATATTACTATTTTATACTTCGTTCACTAACATTATTTTGCGAGCATTGCTATACTACGTTTTTAACACTAAAAAAGTTTCCCATACAAACTGGATTACATCCGTAACATATACTTTCTTCTTTTTTTCCAGACCAGCTTTAGTCAACTAGTTGCCGCTTTCACCCATGACACCATGAAGGCATGGTGAAAATCATTTACCTATTAAATACCTGTTTGAAAACGATTAGCCTTTGATAATAAATTACTAATCTTAGTCTATGTTTGAATAAAACATAACAGATATTAAAAGGCACAGTATATTAATATAACAAGTAATATTCAATGACATTCAGGTAGATTTGAGATAAATTTATGTGTAACTATAGGTAACTAGGTGTGTATTAGGTGCTGCAAAATCAAAACCGCTTAATGTACACTTATGATCGTTAGTAAAAAAATAATGGTTCTAAATTTACATCTACTGCCAGTTCTTAAATCAAGGGCGTAGAACGGACGAGAACTGGCAATAAACACTCCGTCACTTCTTTAAATCACCGAGGTTTAATTTTACAAATTGCAATAAGCATTTGCAATCTTTACCAGTATTCCCTATATCTGGCGTTGGCATCGTTTCTTTAAACATTTAGTATTTCTGTGGCTAACACATGTCGTTCATGTTTGAGTAAAGACGGTATCCTCACGATGAGACCTTCACCGTTCTTGTAAGTATTAATTGCGCACATAGAAAAAATAATTTCTGCACAGCCGGGCTCCACGGTTGAGTGGAGCATGCCCAAGCCACCGAGGCCTACACCGCTAGATTTATATATATTAAAATACTCAAGTGATTCTTTCAATCAAAATTTGTATTTAATATGCAACAGATTAAATTACTTGTTTAAATTGACTTTACAATACTCTGAGGTTAAAAATTTGACATAAAAAATGTTTTCACTAAAGTTCGATAGGATAACAGAACAGGGGGATAAATAAAATTACAATTTCAATACTCGAAATTTAATGGTTCTTGTTAAGTTAAATAAATTAAATAGTTAATTTAATTTGTAGAGTTCAATCAATGCCGCAAACGAAGATCGTCATATATTTTTCACTAAAATATTAAGTCATATGTAATTTGTATAAACCATACACAAATATCACATAATAAAATAAATAAAACATATTAAATTATATATTTGTATCATATAACATTTATAGTATATATAATTTATTATAATATATAAATGCATAATTATATATAATTCGATATATAAAAATGTACTAATCGATACTATTATTGTCCCAAAATATATAAAATACTCTGCATAAATATGTCAATATTACACATATACATATATATATATATATATACATATACTATTTACATTAAATACATATCTTTATTAATTATATAATTATTATAGACGCTAATATTTACATCTTATGTAATGATAAAGATTAATAAATATTAAAGCAATATCCAAAGTCTTAGAATATTTGGTATTTACATATATTACATATTATATGACTATATAAAAGAGAATTGAGGTACTTTTTAACTTAGAAACTTCATCATGTCCTTTGCACGCCATGTCAGTCTATAAATATCTTTGGAACAATGCATATGCATTTTGTTGTAAACTAAAATAAATAATAGTTCCTAATGCCGCCACTAAAATTAATTATTCGGTGGATTTATTGGGTGTACGCGTTGTAGGCAAGGTCGTGTGTATCGAGGGACCTGCAATGGAAAATAAATATTCACTCGTCATAATAAAACCTTCCTCCGGCTTAGTTCAGTAAATATATACAAAGCTTGTGTACCTTACACTAAGACATAGAAATATATAAATAAATTCTATGATTTGTCAAAAACAGTGATAAAAGGATGAAATACAAACATAAAATATGTCATATAAATATAAAATATGTTAAAGATTTTGCTAAGTATTTTTACCAACACAGCTGTGGGTCACACACATCTGGCACTGCACTGTATTCAGAAAATAGCTAAGCTATGGCAATCAAACTATATTTTAATCACCGTATGATACTTTCAAGGTGAGGTGATTTGATTTTTAACGGCACGGTTCTTCTATAATGTGTAATGATAGGGGTACTTAGATTATAAGTAATTAGATAGTAACATATACTATGACATCATAAATAATTTAATTGCTTTTAATCATAATTTCATATTTTTATGCTAGTTTAATATGGCTGATTCTTTTATCATAATATGTCCCACAATCAAGGCAAATAAAGGATTTATTTATTGTTAAATTTAATTAATTTAAGAAAGTAAAGTAATAGGTTTGTATTTGTTTTAGGTGTCATGCCATATTTTAATAACAAAATATTAATTTAACTATCTACATCACCTGCTCCAACCAGCTCCACCGTGTCCAGCAGAGACCACCACCTCATGGGCTTCTCCTGTTCCACTTGATGAGAGAAGCTTCTTCAGACCAATGATACCAGCAAGTACCAAAGCCAACTTGGAGACAATTAGGGCCTTTCCAGCGAGGAGGGCCAGGGCTCCGAAGGCCAGGGGTACGATCATACCACCGATCAGAAGTGGGATCGCAAGGAGTGGGGCAAGTTTCTTCCTCCTTCCACGACCTTCGTCGAACGCGCGCTGGAGGTCCGAACCGGTGGGGAATTTGATCTGCAATTGATAATAATTAAACACTTAAGAAAATCTTTGATAATAATATTTTTTATATGATAATATATATAGTCTATAGTAATAGGAAGAGACGGGCTGGTAGAAGGAAGAAGTCGTGGTTGCGGAACGTAGTGGACCGGCATCACATCCTCCGGGGGGTTTTTTTTTAGCGAAAGATACTCGGCAATTCAAGTTGTTAACAGCCAACCTTTAACAATAAAGTGGCACCAGAAGAAGAGTCTATAAAAGTAAGGTCTAAAATATAAGGTATAATAAATAATTGCATTATAATACTTAATTTTTTCTCTATACAAAAAAAGAACTTGGTTTATTTTGAAGACAAGAAAAAAATTATACTATTAGTTATCTATGCATATTGCATATGTAATGTTTATATAGAAATATTTTTATATGTAGCTAATATCGTAACCATAAAAACACTGTACTAACTTTAAAGCACAATATAATATTTGACAATGGACAATGTAGAAGATTTTAAAATTTAGCAAAGTCCTATATATTTGTACCAACAATAAGGTTAAGAGTTTTAAAAAAAATGCGTCTTACGATCCACGTATGAAGATATTTTGCCTTATAACTTATGTAACCTGCTTTTTTTATATGTATGTTTTTGTATAATGTGATAAAGTATAAATAAATAAATATTTGTAAAAACCATTAAATGATTAGATAAATTTTTACTAAAGTTTGTTTCATTTCAAAAATGCAGGTACCGATTTACACTCAAAGATATAACCCACAAATAAAGTATTATTTCCTGCAGTAACCTTTCTGGGTTCGGAATAGCTATTCTAAATAAGGGCCGCAGTTTGACCAAATAAGGAATTACTATGCGGAATTACCTTTCTCTGTATCCAACATACATGTGAACAAGTAAGCCTAAGCTAAGTCCAGGATCGTTTTTAAAATACCCCATCAGTTGGAATACCAATAATAATAACTCCATTAGTTTGAATACAAGCAAACTAATGGGGTACCGAGATAAAATGCAAGTGTTTCTCACAAATAAATCGATAAGAAAATATTTCTCTTTCTATTCGATGGACTAACGTGAAAAGCCAAGTATAGATATAATTAGTTTAAGAAAAGTCCACAAAAACTCTTAGCCATCACGCATGACGCTATTAGCAAAAGAAACTATGTAGGTCGAAAGAAAACTGTTAAATAGAGTGTGGCGGGGAAAGAAGTGAAGATGAATTAATTGGTTGTAATTAAAGAGATGTCGTGAAAGCGGTGCGTTAATGTATTTCTGATTTTAATGTAGAAATAAATTTCCTAACGTCTAATTGTATCGTGCAAACACAAAATGCATCTTAATACAAGAAAAACATTTTTTCCTACATTCCAGATCCCTATTGGAAATATTTATGTAATGATGTGTGTGATTTGCATTAATATAGAACATTTAACACTTATCCATTTACTTATGGTATTCTTGTAAATTATCAATAAGTTATTGTTTTTCCATTTACGAGTTTTGCATATGAATTATAACAACGGATATATTATTACTTTAAAGCATTAAGTTTAAACGATAGAGATTCAGAAAACAAAATATTAATACAATTACTAAAGATGAGGTTGCTACTACGGGGCCTTAATGGTAATGCATTCAATACAGTTGGTTTTGACAGAAGACACTATCGCGGAGATAGGAAAATTTATAAAATGTGTCAATCCTGGTTATAGGAATTTATTCTTTAAACGCGGGTAACTTGTTTAATGCATCATTAATTATATAGTTGCAATTATCTAGTTTTCCGACTCAATTAATCTAAATGTAACAGAAAATTGGTTGAGGTGTAACAAACTATGAAGGAACACGACATCCAGTGATTTATGATATTTAATTGTAGTTTTAAGTCCTATGATTGTGTTTAAAAAGTCAAACACTTGATTTATTTCCTTCTATGTATCTAGAAACAATTATTACCTCGTCCGAGATGGGACCCTACGGGCTAAGTGTGTTCGTTATTAAACCACTTAGAAGGAATTTTACAACGAAGGAAGTTCGTCATGCCTGATCAATAGAACAGTACCAAAATAAAATCAATTAAATAACAGTTGCATAAAATAAGGTCGTGCAACAGCTATAATAAAGTCGTTGAACTTAATCCGTTTAACGACAGGGCGCGTAATGAATATGTAATATTACACCTTTTAAGACTATGACCTAAATGTTTTGTCTATCTAGAAATGAGGGCTTCATGTCTATGTAGGGTTAGATATACCTAAGTATAATGAAACATATGGGTATTTACAGGACTATTCGCTTTTTGTAGGATAAGAAATAATTATAAATATGGAGATTTCATATTAATTTATTATATACTGTTTTATGGTATCTTAATAATATTTACTTGAACACAAAAAGGGTCTCTTTATTTCTAGGTATTAATCTGGTAATAAGTATTTTGTTTAGCCAAAAATAGTAAAAATTGATGTATATTTGATGTGTCAATTTTAGTAAGTGGTAGTAGTAGTCAATTAAATACCAAACGGTTTCTGACATTACAAATAAATTTATATATTTTGTCCCATTGGATTTATTATATCATTTACCAATTACCTGATTGGCAGATATCTTAGTTACTTGATTCGTAAGGTCTAAAACCACGCTTTTGACTAATTTCTTCCCATAATTTTGACCGCATACATCCAAGAAACCAGTTGCGCGGCAGACTGAACCATTAAGGCACAAGTCAAGACTGACACTTGTAAAACATTTGAGAAAACTGCTGATACATTTTCGAAAGCTCTAACGTCGTTAAGAGTAGGTTACGTTGAGAAACTCGTCACCTTATGGACACTATAGAAAAGTGGACACTAGACAGTAATTAAAATAGAAGAGAAATTAAAACTAGGCTCTCACGCTTAAACTAATATCATAAATACGGAACTCTCTCTAGTTACATTTTTGCTTCTGACAAACCATTTTTATAAAGATTACTAGCTGACCCGGCAAACGTTTGTATTGCCATTTATATTATTATATAGGAAACTTTTTTTAGTTTAATAAAAATAATTGTCTACAAAAATAAAAAATAGGGGTTGATCGTAGAAGGGTAAAAAATTAAGGGTTGTATGTATTTTTGTACAATTAATCATGAAAAAATAAAAGCAATTTTTTTTTGGGTTGGACGCCCCTTATCACTTAGGGGTTTGAATGATAGATAGTAGCCGATTCTCAGACTTTCTGAATATGCATAAAAATTTCATAAGAATTGGTCGAGCCGTTGCGGAGGAGTATTGGAACGAACATTGTGACACGAGAATTTTATATATTTAGAGATAAACTTGGTAACAATCATAGGTACAAAAGACTTCAACGCGCTATGTTGAGTTGCGGTACAGTCATGACAATATGTATATTGTTCGTTGTGTATAGTTGATAACGGATGATCTGATCCAAGGACCTTTATGTCACCTTATTACATCTTATATTTTTCGCTACATGTATATTGTATTATTAGTTCTAATCATAGATATTCTGATGATTAGTTTAATTGAAAATACATACCTGGACCGTATGAGATTGCATGAATCCAACGATTTTGTCCAAAATGAGGTTGTCCAAGGAGCTCTCATCAAGATTTCTTGGAATCGCCTCCTCCTGCACTTTCTCGACTGCATCCTTGTCTTTTGTGATCGTGACTCCACCGAGAAGAGTGACTTCATCGCTCTTTGAGATCCTGTTAAGCGCCTTGGCTAGCTTCAACTTCAAGCAGCTGCCAATATCGCTACCACTGCAGTCTCTGTATGTTTCATAGGCAACTTTGAGGTCTCCTAATATTGTGTCATCTGAACTTCTGCCCTCGTCCAGACTGTTTTGGTTTGTGCTAGCTGTTCTAGCGCTGACAGCCGCTGCAAGTGTTAATACGAGGAGGTAGTGTACCATTTTGGAGTCGTTCGCACGTTCGTGTCGGGATAACTCTGTTTGAAAATATTACAGTAATTGCGTTTATATGCGCTTAGTTTCACGGTACAGTGAAGTTTACTGAGAGGGATGCACCGATGCATTTATGCAGTTTGATGTACAGGTGTGTAGTAATGTAGAAATCGGGATAGACGAATTGTAAGGTGGGTAAGAATTCAGATAACCCTCTAACCTTCTTAGATGAACTTATAGTATATAATATATCCTATTAAGAATTTTAGCTACTAGGTAATAAAAATTTAAAAGATCTCTATTTAGCAAAAGAATAAGTGATCGCTGACTAAGGGTGTTTCTATACAATTGTATGTATCGTTATGAACGTAAAAAAACACAAGCCAAAAAGGTGGTTTTTAAGTAATAAATTCATTTAAAAAAAAATATTTTCCTAATTTTATTTTCATTATAGTAATAATATATTAATTGTTACTTTTGAACGCGATGTTACAATATAAGAGTGAGCTTAGCGAAAATCTAACTTAACGGACTTACCAATAAAAAATCGGGAGCAAAATATCTTCTAGCGCAACTAATATAATAGAAAAGTTGTAGAATCTTTTGTATCCACCACATTCTTTATACTTATAACTTAAAAGTTGTTTGAAAAATATTTAAAAATTACAAATCTGCCAGTTGCTAAACATGTTTTTTTTTTAATTTTAATTGTACTCTGTTAATGTTATGTACCGATGTACATTAAAGTATACATATGGTTAAATATAATTTTAATATATTTATAAAAGGAGTGAAGGATTGCTGTGGTATCTGAATTTGAAAATCGAATGCAGAGCTTATCTGTTTAACTTAATAACAAATGAATGAAGCACTTCTACATTACCATTGACTCATAATATCGACACTAAACGCTATTGTGTCTATATTTCATTACACTTTAAAAATTCTTATTCAACGCAGTTATACTTTGACTACGTAGATGAGTTGGTTCAGTCTGCAAGTAAATTTTATCTAAAAGTAATGCGTATTTCAGAACAATTACAATAAAAAAATCAACAACTACATCAATAGTATTCGTTTAACTAACGAATGGGAATTTAGAAAACAGACGTAAGGTGATTGATCTTCTTGTAACAAACCTTTGACGCTAGGTCAGTCGATTTAGGTCGAAACCTAGACTTGCAGCATGAAGCATACACCGCCAAACCATTTCTGTATGTTTTTCGAGATCCCTATAATATTTGCTACTACTTATATATGTTAACTATTGTGACTCAGTTAACGTATTGATTGGCATTTAAATTTTTGTTTATACATATTTTTATTAATTATTTTTACTTTTTCTTTAGATTTTACTTAATTTTATTTTAGATACAGTTACGTGTTATTTTAAGTTTTTTTTTGTTAATTATTTGTGCACTTATTGTACTTTACCCTCTGTAGGTGTTTCTTTTTATTGATCCACATTAGGATTGCCTGGAAGAAATCGCTTGTTAGCGATAAGGCCGCCCGTTGCCTTATAACTTATGTAACCTGCTGTAATAAAGTGTAAATAAATATATTTGTTAATAGATGCTTCGAACTATTATTAACATAATGAATCTAAGCTCACATTTCTTACAAGCAGTTAACTCGATACAATAATTGTGAAGTTCTCTTCCTATATAGTCTAAAATGGGTATACACTAGTAGACTGCCGGAAATACACTTATTAGTTCCTGTCACGCAGCCCAATGTCATATTCGTGTAATAACAGAATTATTTAAATGTATTCAGTACCGGTATGAACAGCACATATATAAATAAAACTGGCCTGTTGGAAATTCCTTTTATATAACAAAAATATAGATAAGAAATATTTCAATTTAGAAAATATTTTTAGTATCCAGTTTTCTAAGATTAATTATTCAATCGATTTTTTAAAATCACAAGTCACCTTAATACAATTTTGATCAAAAATATCGAAATGCCGTACTGCGTAAAAGTAGTTTACAATGATATAAGGAGGGCAAATATAAACTAATCAATGTTATAAATTTCCTAAGCATTAAACACAACAACATATTTTCTTAAACAATATTTTAGAATTATGCATTTCAATCAATATTGTAAGTAGTAGTAATTAAACTAACTACTAAAAAAGTTTAGTTGCTTCATCATTGGGTTGCTACGTGAAATCGATCCACAAAACTGTTTGATCTACTTAAGTTATGATGCAGGGACATTGACGAAAGTAACAACGGATTTGGATTAACCACACCCAAACCATACAAAAACACGATACACTCAAAGAAGTTGGTATTAGCTTGTCAGTTGGTATATTCTTAAACAGTCAAGTGAGTGAAACAATGGTACAGGTAAACTGTATTATTTCATTACTCTTTGAACGGAATTTATCAAACAGCCTTGCGATTCTGTAAGTCACTTTTCGAACTCTCACAGCGGTTTTCGCAGTGGCGGTCGCGCTCAAATCAGTCGTGAAGCAGTCATTTTACGATTTAGCATTCTAAACAAGTCCTTTATCAGAAAACCAAATAAACTACACTACAGAATCGCAAGGCAGTGCTAATCCGGAGCTGGATATATTCGGTAGTGGGCTGATTGGTTTTAGAGAAAGCATTGTTGGCCTATCTCGAACCTTATCCGCTGTTTAGCTGATGATTTTTTTCTGCTTTACCAAAAAATTCTTTAGTATAAAATTACCTTGTATTTTTTTTAATACTTTGTATGCTTATTTTATCTTGAATATTTTTTGTAACACTAATGTTTACTTCAATTGTCATACATTTTAGATGGAAGATTTAGCAAAATATGCCGTAGATTTAGTACTATGTTTGTGGTAAACTTTAATAAATAAATAAAAAGAGACTAAAACAGATATCAATATAATAATATCATTTGTAAAACATTGTCTGAGATAAAGACGTCTACAATTTCGTGATCATTGTTATTCATTAAATGAGTTTGCAATTCAAATTGGCAAAAAATTCCCGCACACCATCACTATGCCTACACTAGTTATAGTCCAACACAACTACGTTAAATTAAATTCTTTATTTAAAGAAATGCAATCTTCACATTCAGCAAGGTAGCTAATGACAAAACATTAAAAAAAAATGCATTACGTCAGTGATAGTGACAGTTTACTTGATTATTTTAAGTCTGTGGTAACCTGTGGTTGAATTGTCAGTCCGTCGTCGCTTACACACAATGATCTCGATACGACTTTATCAAACGTATATTGTCGATAACGTCTTAATTCTAAGTTTTTGCTTTAAGTACTTAATTGTATAAAATACCAAATCATAGGATATGTTGGTCAAACTGTGAGCTTGATAAGATGCCTACTACAATTCATCTCATAAAACGCTACATATTTTTCTGTACGATCATAATAAATACAAAATAAATAGTAATAAATAAATCATAAAATAATCCATTAATATATCTTTATTCGCCTTATAAACCAGCACTATATATTAGTCAAGCGTGCCTGCGAAATGAATCCGATTCATACAGCAAAGTTTTATTTTCACTTTGAAAGAAATTATCTGTTCCAATCGTTGCATTTTTTTCATGAAAACACGTTCATTTTCATAAGTGTGTTAAATACAAATCGCGAGGCAGCGAGCGGAATTTATTACTGCTGCGGTAAAGAACTTGGTAGACTTCATAAAGATAAGGGATGATGTAGTGCACAGTAGCAAGATTGGTTTCACTGGTAAGTTTAATTGGTATATGTTTCTTCTGAAATAAAAAGTTGGGTAATTAGACAATCTTCAATGAAGGATAAATAAAATATAATTGTCAATAATACACGTCGATGCTTCCGTATATATGTTATATGACTGTAAAAATATATTCGGGCTTGGGATGATAAAACTTAATAAAATTGCCCTTTCCTTTAGATTAAACTTAATATCGTTTTTTATACGATTTATTTACACCCGATGTAAAGCAAAGGCGAGGCAAAGTATAAATTAATCAATCAATTAACTCCATTTGTTATGAACAAATGTACTATTCTCATCAAGTTTTTTAAAACACGAAAACATTTATTTGAAAAAGTCTCCCATTGATCTCATCTCAAGTTGTAGATGTACAATTAAAATCGATTCAACGCGTAATATACAATATTATGTACTAATAAGCCGAGTTAATGAGCGTAGCATCACCGCTATATAGTTCCGTTCTTAGATGACCTAGATATAATCTGGGATAGTTTTTATAGGCTTACTGTACTATTGATTTATATAATATTTGTGTGGTAAGATTTTGATAAGATCTTTAGCAGTTAAATATGTAGGTTTTTTGTTCGTTTATGTAAGACAAAAAGGATATTTAGAATAAATCGTTTCTTTGGCTTTAGAAGTCAGACAGTGCGTAACTTGGAGATTTCAGGTTTGATTCCCAGTGAAACACAGCAGTGGCATAGCTATAATATCTTTCAAAGTATACTTCATTGAAATATGCATTAGTGTGCAGATACCCTGTCCCATTGTAACATATTATAAAGTCACATATGGTGCATGACTTTTTTTGTATATTTCATGTTCTAACGTTTATGTAATAACGATAAACAGAAATATATACTTCTACTGATGTAACATTTTGTTTTAATATTTTTTATCTTATTTTGAGATTATTAAACGAATAAATTTCTTGAATTTTTTAGTGTTTAAATTATTTACTTTATTTGTAGGCGTAAAAAGAGAAGATAAAAAAAGAACCGTCTTTAACACAGTGTCCAATATGCTTGGATTAAATCCCTACCAAAATATCACCTTTTCACTAAGAACGAATGCCACGGTCGTGGGGTAGACAGATATCTGCGTATCTTATCTTAATATTTCGTAGATATCATACGTTAAAAAAGCCGCGTAAAGCCACGAAGATGAATTCGCGCCGTCATACATAATATAATCACACTATCACCTATAATTTATGCCAATCATTTCACTTTCTAGATATTTTGTTATTATACTTTCCCATTGAGCTTTGGCCTCACT